CGCGGGGCCTGCAGCACCAGAACCCCTCCTCGGCCTTTTCCGGTACCTCGCCGGCTTTCAGATGCGTTAGTGAGCGGCCTGCAGTCTCCTGTTGTGTTTCTGGTGGCCGTCCTTGGCTCCGTGATCGTTTCATTTTGTAGTGAGATTTATGGGGCTTCCCACCCCCAAGATTTACCAAAAGCAGCATCCGGGGCCGCACGATAGCCAGCGCTGCCATCCTGGAGCTCTTGAGTTCTGAGACTGTGAACACCGCTCCCAAAAGTCACCGAAATGTCTTCCAAGGGTCTTGAGTACGAACTTAAGAGTCCATTTTTAATACGTTCCTTTGGGGAGTGTTAGGCGTGTGGGAAAACGTTGCAGAAGATTTCGAGATTTGAACGGGCAGAAAACCAAATTTAAAAAAATAATCAGATATGGTAAACAACAGGGTCTTTTTACAAAGTGATGCTCCGTATTGGAATAAAATACTGCCAGGCCTATGAAGGCTTCTCCTGACTTGCGGTGGCTCATGGGCCCCGAACTTAGGCAAGACCCTCCCTTCTCTGGGCCTGGTAGTGTCTGTAAATAGGGCGTCGCTGGAATGTGGTTCCGACGTGCGGTGAGTCCGTGTTAGCTGGAAAGGGTCAAGCCACCAAAACCGCCTGGGCGTTTAGGAGAGGAGAGAACCTGTAGATAAAGTGGGAATTTTATCCTGACCTTGTGGATCGAATCCTGGAGTGAAGTTACTCCACTTCTTTCGCAGAAGAACTTTACAAAGAAAAGAATTCACCAGACCTTGTGGAAATCGCTCTGACCTTTGCGATCTTACTTCAGATCAGAGTGGGAACTTGGGTAAACCCTCCCATCAAATGAATTCCGTGTTCTAAGACCTTGTTTAGTGTCTTAAAAAGCAAAGTAACAGGATGGTAGTGTGTTTAGCTTAAAACTGACTTATATTCTGTCTTCACTTAAATCTGTAGAGTCATAGACCATTTTTTAAATTTTGGCGTGCAAAACTTTAACCTCAGGAAATATGAAGAATTCTGCGTGAATACTGTAAGGAGTTTATCCTTGGGAATTACGAAATGACAGGCTCCCAGAATCCAAAGAAAGTGGTTCCCTGTCACCCTTTATGCTAATCAAGGAGTGGAATGGGATGCTGGGTAATAATGAGTTTGCTTTTTATTTTGGAGGAGTAACTTCAAAACATTCAAAATGCCCTGGCCGGGTAATTCATTTAGGTGGAGCATCATCCTGTAAAGTGGAGGGTTGTGGATTTGATTCCTGGTAAGGGCACATGCCTAGGTTGTGGGTCCCATCGCCCTGGAGAGCTTGCAGGAGGCAGCTGGTGGATGTTTCTCACAGGAGAGGGGCCTGAATACTAAAAATAAAAACATGGCTCCCTGTTTCTTCCAGAGGTGGAATCTGTCTTCTTAAAGTATGGACTTTGATCCTAAACAAAATGTTTGCTTTTCAGTAGTTATTGAACACATTTATAAGGAACCAGTGACCACTAGGCTATAGTATAAGTTCAGAAAAAAGCAAGAGCCACCAAGCTAGGTCATTCCCTTTTAGTTAATGATAACTAGAGTAGACAACATCAGGAGGGATGAGAGGGGGTACCTAAATTTTTAATCATCTCCTGTTTTTGTTATTGTTATGGCAAACTTATTACATGCCAAGCACTGTTTTAAGTGTTTTGCACAGGTTACTTACTTTAATCCTCATAACCAATAAATTAGGTGCAACTATTCCCATTTTACAGATGTGGAATCTGAGGCACAAAGAGGTTAAGGAACTTGCCTGCAGAGCTAGAAGTGGCAGTGCTGACATTTGAACCCAGGCAGTGTGGCTTCAAAGCCCGCCTCCCTAACAATTGTGCCATACCACTGTGTGTGTGTGTGTGTGTGTGTGTGCGCGCGCGCTCACGATGAAGATGGACTGATAGCAGTCTAATTAGGTGAAATCAAAGCTGGTTTACTACAGAAAGAGTCAAATGCAGGCTGAAGGGAAGTCTGTACTGATGTGCCATTTCGTTCTACCCTACCTTTGTACTTTTCAGAAGTTGATGAAATTATAAAATGTGTCCCTGACCTAACTCTGGGACCGACTTGTGGAGTGGATGGGTTGAATCAGAATCCTGATCAATCCCAACCTGCTGGAATGGTGAATCAGCTTTTACAAAAAGAGACACAATGTTTTGCTGAGGTGTGGAAAAATCAATGATACACGTGAGAGGTGATAAAAGGGCAGTTTTCATTGATGGTGAACTCAGTATGAATCGACTGGATACTGTGAGTGCCCTACAGCTAATGTATTGGGTTCTGTACTGTGTCTCCAGAATGAGGAAGTAGTAGCCCGGCTCAGTTTCAGGATGATGAGGCTATATCTGAGGGAAATTTGAAGTCATACTATATGAAGAGTAGTTAAATGAACTGGGGACTCTGGCTTATTCTATATCTTTGTGTTTACAGTTTCTAGTGAATGTGCACAGTGAGTACCCAGTAATACATGGTGAATACACACACTTAAGCATTATTGAATGTAGTCTTTAAATGGTTATGATGGAATCATACTACCCAAAGCAATCTATACATTCAGTGCAATCTCTATTAAAATACCAGTGGCATATTTCACAGATCTAGAACAACACTCCATAAATTCATATGGAACCAAAAAAGATCCCGAATAACTGCAGCAATCTTGAGAAAGAAGAACAAAGTTAGAGGAATCACAGTACCACATATCAAGTTATACTACAAATCCACTGCACTCAAAACAGTCTGGTACTGGCATAGGAACAGAACAGATACCTCAGAAAGCAACCCAAGCCATTACACTCAATTAATATTTGACAGAGGAGGCAAGGATATACAATGGAGTATAGACAGCCTCTTCAATAAATGGTGCTGGGAAAATTGGACAGGAACGTGCAAAAAAAAAAAAATGAAACTCGATCACCAACTTACACCATACACAAGATTAAGCTCAAAATGGATAAAAAACTTAAATGTAAGTCGTGAAACCATAAAAATCTTAGAAGAAATCATAGGCAGCAAAATCTCAGACATTTTTCATAGCAATATGTAATACATATCCTAGGGCAAAGAAAACTAAGGAGAAAATAAACAAATGGGGCTGCATCAAAATAAAAAACTTCTGCACAGCAAAAGAAACCATCAGCAAACTGAAAAAAGAGCCCCCCGCATGGGAGAACATATTTGCCAATGATACATCTGATAAGGGGTTAATTTTCAAAATATATAAGGTACACAGCTCAACAAAAGGAAGACAAATAGTCCAACCAAAAAATGGGCGGACGACCTACATAGATACTTTTCCAAAGAGGACATACAATTGGCCAAGATACATATGAAAAAATGCTCAGCATCACTTATCATCAGAGATGCAAATTGCATCCCTATGTTCATAGCGCAATTTACAATAACTAAGATTTGGAAACAGCCCAAGTGCCCATCAGTAGATGAGTGGGTAAAAGAGCTGTGGTACATCTACACAATGTAATACAATGTGAACCATCTCTTACCGTTTTTGACAGGATGAATGAAACTGGAGAGTTTTATGCTAAGTGAAATAAGCCAGTCAGAGGAAGATAAGTATCACATTATCTCACTCATATGTGGAATCTAATGAACAAAATAAACTGTTGAACAAAATAGGTCCAGAGACATAGAAGCATGGAACAGACTGACGAATTTCAGAGGGAAACTAGGGGTGGAGGTGAGGCAGGAAGATTAACTGGGAAACTTGTATGCATATTTATATAGCCCATGGACCAGACAATAGTCTAGTGAAGGCCTGGGAGGGGCTGGTGTGGGGTGGAGGGGGTCAATGAAAAAACAACCCACAAAGTGGACATCTGTAATACTTTCAACAATAAAGATAAATAAGTAAACAAAAGTAAATAGTTTATGATGGTATTCTATCATAGTTACATAACTAGTCCTTTGTATTTGCACTTATGGATTATTTAGTGTTGATTGTTACTTTTGTAAGTATTCAGTGTTGTATATGCTTGTTTAAATGAAGATAATAAAGTGTTGTTATAGACTGAATAAATTCCAAAATTCATATGTTGAAACCTAACCTTCAGTGTGATGGTATTTGTAGGTGGGGTGGCCTTTGGGAGGTGATTAGGTCATGAGTTCAGAGCCCTCCTAAATGGGATTAATGCCCTTAAAGTAAAACAGGTCCCAAGCCCTGGCCAGTTTGTTCAGTGGTTAGAGCGTGGGGGCCACAGGTTCGATTCCTGTCCCTGTTCAGGGCACATGGGAGAAGCAACCAGTCGATGTATCTCTCTCAATCGATGTTTCTTTCTCTTTCTCTCTTTGCCCCCCTCCTCCCTCTATGCAAAAAATAACCTTGGGTGAGGTTTAAAAAAAAAAAAAAAAAGAGTTCCCGAGAGAGATGTGTCACTCCTTTTGACGTGTGAACCCAGAATCAGGCTCTGGCCAGACACTGAATCTCCTGGTGCCTGAAAAGGGGGTTTTCCAACCTCCAACACTGAGAAATAAATATTTGTTGTTCGTTATCCATCCCGTCTGTGGTATTTTGTTGTAGCAGCCCAAATGGACTAAAACAAACGTATTTGGAAAGAGCAACCTAAAACTTTAAAATAGTGGAAAATAATTGCAGATTAAAGAGGTTGAAGTTGTTTCTTTTAGGGAAAACCTTAAAGAGTTAGTTTAACTACAGGAAAATCTGAACTGAACTCAATCAGCTGGGTATATGTGTGTACGTGTACGCATGTGTGTATGTTTTGAGAAAGACTGTCGGAAAATAGACAGTTCATTGGGAAAAACTCAGTTTATCAATTTCAAACAGCTGTAAAAACCAGCCCTCCGAGCACTGCTGTTCCAGAGAAAGGGGGTGCACTTGGAGGCTAGGAGAGAGGAAGGGGTTAGCAGCAGGAAAAGGAGACAGGTGGCACCCAGCAGGTGGGGACAGACATAAAGGAAAGGGACAAGTAGATAAAGGGAAGTAAAGTCATTCATACTTATAAGTTTGAGATCAGGGAATTATAGACAATAAAAGCTCTTTGGGGTGTGTCTGGAATCTGGACAGTTTTGGTCCTATTTTCTATGCATTCTCCATGTATGGAGAAGTCACCAAATCTCACCTCATTTTCATGGTGAGGCAACGGAGCTCTCTCGAGGATGAATGACTTGACTAGCTGCTCTTTTGTGGCTCTTACCCTTGTACAGAGACAGTTATTGTTCATAAATATTGCAGAATTCTGAGTTATGAAGTGGCAGTTACTATATACAAATACAGCAATGTATTTAAGAGCTATTTTAACATTAAGGATGAAAGAAATTTATGTTTACAAATTTATTATTATATAAAAGAAAATGAGATTACTCAGAACTCTTTAGTTGCCTAGCATTCCAGTTCATGAAGGTTTTTGTACAGATGTCATGCTTTCTTCTGCCAACTAATAAGAATGTTGTAACCACCCCGTTTCCTTTTGTTCTGGCTGTAAGTTGATCAGGCTAAATTTAACACTCAAAGATAGTGTTACTTTAGAACTCACACATTCTATTTTCCATAGCTTTATTTTTGTGTCTGTTCTAATTTAATTTACTGTAAAGTGCCAGAGATAGTTTTTAAAAGATTAAGGGACACATCAGTATTCTAGATAAATTTCTAGATTTCTTTCAAAATTGATATATAAAATAAAGCTCCAGGTATTTTTCTTCATTATTTTTTACTTCAATCAGCTGATTTTGAAAATATTAATTTTCCATTTCTGAGCCCCAGAATTTCTGAAGATCCTGAATGACCCCCTAAGTATGCTAAGGGGGCCACATTTCAGAAATCTATTTTTTAAAGTTTGGAGTCCTTGCCCTGGCCAGTGTGGTTTCATTGCTTGAGCGTTGTCCTGTGTACCAAAAGGTTCAATTTCTGGTCAGGCACATGCCTACGTTGTGGGTTTGATTCCTGGTTTGGGAGTCAGCTGATCAACGTTTCTCCCTTCCTCTCTCTCTAAAAATGAATGAAAACATTTTTTTTAAAGTTCAGAGCCTGTTTGTAATGTGAATTGTGTCTCCCTAATTTTCATATGCTTTAAGTTTGGATTTTTCTTTATTTTTAAAAATGTTTATGTATTTACTTGAGGGAGGGAGGGAGGAAGGGAGAGAGAGAGAGAGAGAGAGAGAGAGAGAGAGACAGACACCAATTCTGCTGTTCCACTTATTTATACATTCATTGGTTGATTCTTGTATGTGCCCTGACTGGGGTTCGAACTTGCAACCTTGGCGTATTGGGCCAACACTCTAACCAACTGAGCTACTCAGCCAGAGCTTAGGTTTGGATTTTTGTGAAGTGCTCAACATCTGTTGAACTCTGAGAGTGGTAGCAAGAAACATGGGGGAGGGGGAGGTGGTAGGTTGCCTTCCTGACAATATGACAAAGAGCAGACCTCGTGCATTCTTTGGCCACTCATTTATTGTGACCACATGTCTTTACTTTTCTATATTCGAACCGAAAGTGTTATTAGCCTCTCGGAAACTGGCATTAGCCCCAGCCAAAAGTTACAGTTCATTTTACTAGAATTTCCAGAGGGCAAACTGCACATGATCTCGCAATGTAACAGCCTTACCCTACTCCCCATCGGAATATTTAAATCATGAACATTGAACAACCAATGTTTTGACAAGTTAAGAAAAGACCTACAAGTAGTATTAAAAGTGTGAAAAGAGAGGACATTTTACTTTGTGCTGGCACACTTCACTTCTCTTCATTTTTACATTTTAATTTCTAGTCCTTGGCTACATGGTTTCCCTATGTGTAGCCTTGGTTTACAATGCTATTTTGTATTCTTTTCCATTTTAAAACATATCAGAGGTTTTGTGTGCTTTTACAGAATATCAGTACATTTACTTTCTAGGAGCTGCATAGTATTGTCTCATGTTAATGTTTCCTAAATCATTATATCATATCTATTTTTTTACATAATTTGAAAACAATATATTTAAAGAAATAAAACTCTCAAGCTATAGATTAATATCTGTCTTATTCTTAACCTTTTAATTGATTTTTTTAAAATATGTTTTTATTGATTTTTTTTTTCTTTTGAGAGAGAAAAACATTGATCAGCTGCCTCCTGCACACCCCTTACTCTGGATTGATCCTGCAATCCTTACCATGTGCCCTGACTGGGAATTGAACCTGCATCCTCTTGATGCATGGGATGATCTCCACCAACTGAGCCACACAAGCCAGGGCACTAATTCCTAACCTTTTAAAATCAACTTGCCCTGAAAGACAGCGTGATGTTAAAATGCCTCTCCAGTGGTTTATCCATTGATAACATGGGATTGAACCCCTGTTTTCTTTGCAAATCTAATATTCTAGCCCAGCCACCCATGGGTAGGTAGACCTTGTGTCTGTCTCAGCCTTTTATACTTTTTCAGGGGGATGCTTTAGTTTCACTTCTTTTACAACCATTTTATTGTGATATGATTTAGGTACTATAAAGTTGACACGCTTAAAGTGTACTAGCTTGCCTTTTTGATTTCTGCTGCCTGAGCTCCTTGTCTTCTTTCTCCACATGCAACAAGAAAGAAAACTAGTAAGTGGGGTATCTTGCCCCAGAACATAGTAAACAGTACTCATTCACTTTATTTCCTAGTGTTTTTTCTCCTACTGCATATCCTGTGGCATTATTTGGCATTAGCGTAACGTGGGTTTCATAAACTGTGTTTACTTCCCTGGCTTTGTGCTGATGCAGCAGCTTGAGATAGTGGTTTATGGGCATCAGAAATATTTTTGGGAAATTGTTTTCTGTGAAGGCCTCTGTCCCTGACATTAAACACAATACTTTGAACAAAGCTTAAATCATGTTCAGAAGACAGGTCTAAAGTGGTTTTTTCCCCCATAAATTCATAGACACACTATTCATTTCTAATTCTCATTTAGCGACAGAAAAGCAAAAACCCAGCAACAATTAAAAAACAGATCCAATGAGTAAATAAGTAAACAGGCAAAGGAACCAGGAGCACTTTAGATTGGAAGAGGAGTAGGGATGGGGAGATGGTGCTCAAAGGGCACAAGCTTCCAGGTAGGAGAGGGTAAAGGGGGGATAAATGGAAGGAGACTTGACTTGGGGCAGCAAACACACAACGTTCAGATGTTGTCTTACAGAATTGTACACCTGAAACCTATATAAATTCAATAAATTTAAGAAAACATGAACAAGTTCTGGGGAATGATGTACAGCATCGCCATGTTGTTATTTACTTGAAGGTTGCTAAGAGAATAGATCTTAAATGTTCTCACTACAAAAAAAAATATGGTGATTATGTGACATGATGGAGGCGTTCCATGGTGGTCAGCACTGTGCAATGCAGGGTGGGGCAAAAGTAGGTTTATAGTTGTTCATACATAAAGTGAGACAATAATCTATATCTATCTAACTATACACACACACACACACACACACACACACACACACACACATATATGGCTAATATGCAAAGTATTCCCCCCTCAGGAGTTCAACCGGGAGACCAGGAGTTCGATGACATGCGCTGACCACCAGGGTGTGGCATGGAATGAGGAAGGGCCGGCGGCCAGCGGCCCAGGAAGGAAGGCCCCGGCCAGCAGCCAGAAGGCCCCGATCGGCCCTGATCGCCAGCCAGACCTAGGGACCCTACCTTTGGATGAATTTTGTGCACTGGGCTTTTGTTAATCCTACATAATAAAAGGCTAATGTGCAAATAGACCGAACCGCGGAACAACCAGTCACTGATGTGCACTGACCACAGGGGTGCATGCGGAACATGGCGGGCATTGGTAGCAGACGGCAGAGCACGGAACATAGCAGGCGTTGGCTGCAGTGGGATGGTGCGGTTGATGAGCAGGGTTGCCAGACCAAGGCGTGGCACTGGTCACTGTCATCAGGGTGAGCCTCTGGTGGTTACTGAAAATTTTTTGTTCCTGCACACTGCGGTCCCACCCGCCACTTGCACCCACAACCAGCACCTGGTGCCAGTCCCGATTGCTCTGTGCTGTCAATGGGTGCGAGCAGTGGCTGCCAGCCCCAATTGCCCCTGAGGGATTCTCCACCTCCCCTTGCTCCTGAGGGGCAATCAGACGAGCATCCGCCACTCGCACCCACTGCTGGTGCTGGCCCCAATTGCTTCACACCATCAGCGGGTGCAAGCAGGACTGGTGCCATCAGTGCATGGGAGCAGTGGGGCTGCCATCAGACAGGGACTAGGAGCCACAGCAGGAGGAGCTGGGCAGGGGCGCAGAGGATGGGCCAAGACTCGCCCCTGTGCCCATTGCAGCCTCACAGCCCACAGTTTCTTTCGAGATACACGAATTCGTGCACTGGGCCCCTAGTAAATAATAATACAAGAATAAATTGTGTTCCGTGTACTCACAATAGCAAACCTACTTTACCCCACCCTGTATGTAAGTGTATCAAATCAACATGTTGTACATCTTTAACTTACACAATGTTATATCAAAATTGGGGGGAAAGTTAGGCCAGGGGGGGGTTAGATTAGAGGATTCAATACTGATGGTAGTAACACAAATTGTTTTTGTGTTCCTTTGTGGGCCTTTTGTGTCTGCCTGCTAGAAATTCCCATGATCTCATCCCAGGGAAAGTGCAGGGTGACTTGACGGACTGGTAAGTTGTATTGAGGACACATCTTGCCATTAAACAGTGAGAGTGAATTAGTGTTGGTTTGTAAAGGTTGGGTGAGTGTGTACATATGAGACTAGATCTTCCTCCTCACTTTGCACCTGTTGTCAACTCTAAATAAATACCACATTCTGGTTTCAAAATATTTGGATCCTGAAAAGTTATGTACAGCTGATCATTTAAACTTAACATTTGGGTAATTTTACCCTCTTATCTTAATTTAATTGTTCTTTCAGCTATTCTCTTCAGCAAGCTCAAGCTTTTTACACATTTCCATTTCAACAAATGATGGCCGAGGCTCCTAACATGGAAGTTATGGACACACAGCAGATGCCAGCGGAAGTTCCAGAGCCAGCTCCTGCTCAGGCACCTGAACAAGGTAGTTGCACCAGGAGAGCATAGAAAAGTAGCTATTGGATTAGCCTACTTTTTAAGAAAGGGTTTAATGATGAATTTTAGTGTTAAAATTTTTTAAAAAATTTTTCTTGATTTCAGAGAGGAAGGGAGAGGGAGAGAGAGAGAGAGAGAGAGAGACATCAATGATGAGAGAGAATCATTGATCGGCTGCCTCCTGCACCCTCCTTACTGGGGATTGAGCCCACAACCCAAGAATGTACCCTGACTGTGAATCGAACCACGACCTCCTGATTCATTGGTCAATGCTCAACAACTGAGCCATGCCAGCCTGGCTAGTGTTAAAAAATTTAACCCACTTTTTAGGTACTTAGTATCTTCCAGGCACTGTAGGTTTGTGGGGCAGAAGTGGGGGGAACATTGATCCTGTCCTGGCTGGTATGGCTTTATTGGTTGGGTGTTGTCCCATGTACCTAAGCGTCTCTGGTTCAGTACCTGGTTGGGGCACATAACTTGGTTGCAGGCTTGATCCCCAGGGAGGGTGTGCGGGAAGCAGCCCTCTCTCTCTCTCTTTCTCTCTCTCTCTCTCTCTCTCTCTCTTTCTCTTTTTCTCTTTATCTCCCTCTCTCCCTCCCTCCCTCCCTCCTTCCTTCCCTCTCTCTCTCCCTCTCCCTCTCTCTCCCTTCCTCTCTCTGAAATCAATAAAACATATTTTTAAAAAGGGATATGGATCCTGCTCTAGAATATCTCATAATCTAGTAGGGGAAAATAATAAGTAAATACACGTCATGGCTCAGCACACAAAGCAGTGAAGAGCGGCCTAGAATGCTGTGAGAGCTCATGGCATTGACACCTAACTCAGACTGAGGCTCAGAGGCGGCTTCCCAGAGCTCAGAAGCTCCAGGGGAAGGAGACGTTATCCCCAGGAAGAAAGGGCTGGGGAAGTTCCAGGTAGAGGGAAGCATGCACAAAGCACAGACAAGAAGAAGCACGACAGTTAAAAAACAGTGATTCTGACATTGGAGTCTGGGGTATAGCAAAGAAATGGTGAGAGGCGAGGCTGGAAAGGGGGCATTGAGGCTTGTTTAGCCTAAAAGATGTATATCCTATTCTGAAGGCAATAGGGAGCTGTTGAGAGAATGTAGGCAGGTAGTGGCGTAGTCTAGTGGCATTTGAAAATATCAGCCTCGGGTATTACAGAGGATAGAATGGGTGCTAGAAAACAAGCAGAACTTGGAGGCAAGGAGTGGATTAGAGATCCTTTGAATAATCTGGGGACAAAATGTGGAGAATGTAAAGGGGTGGAGAAGGACAGAATTAGGAACTACTCCAGAGGTAGAATTACTGGCCATGGTAGATGGGTTTCATGGGGAGACAAGGAGAAAAAGGAATCTGGAAATAATTCCTAGACAATTGGATGAAGGAGGTACCATTCACCAAGCTAGAGAATTAGAAGAAAGGAGAACAGATTTGGGGGTGGGGAGATGGAGAGCTACTCTCTCCAGGGTAGCTGTATTGCATGAGAAATGTGCTCCGAGTCGCAGGTTATGATCCCAGGAACACGTCCCCCTTCACTGCGTTGGGGATACCCCTGCCCTTGACCGCTGTTTTTCTGGGCAGGCAGCACTGGGGCTTCCCCAGCTACAAGCCAGTGGAGGTGGATCTCTTGGCATAGGAGTGGCCAAAGCAGTGTGAGATAGAAAAAAGGAAGGACGGGAGGCTAGGGTGGAGAAATGCCAAATAGTAGTAGAATCGGGGAGGAGCCTGAGAAGTTACAAGAGATGTTAAAGAACTAAGGTTAGAAAACCAAGGCTTCCTGTCTGATATTTTAGGACAGTGGTTTGTGAACAGAGATGATTTTGCCCTCTAGGGACATTTGGTATTGTCTGGAGACACCTTTGATTGTCATGACTGGCTGGATGCTACTGGCATCTCGTGGGCAGAAGCCAAGGCTGTTACTAAATATAGAATGTTGCCGGCCCATGTGACTCAGAGATTGAACAATAACCCATGAACCAGGAGGTCACAGTTTGATTCCTGGTCAGGGCACATGCCTGGGTTGCAGTCTTGATCCCCAGTGGGGAGTGTGTAGAAGGCAGTCAGTCAATGATTCTCTCTCATCATTGATGTTTCTGTCTCTCTCTCCCTCTCCCTTCCTCTCTGAAATCAGTAAAAAAAACCAAAAAAAAAACATATATTTTAAAAATATATAGAATGTTAAACATTTTATAATATACAGAACAGTCTCCCACAACCAAAATCATTCAGCGTAAGATGTCGGTAGTGCCAAGACTGAGAAGCTCTGCGTTAGGTCCTGAGATCAGATTCCTACCACCAGCCTGTTTCCTCTTCAGCACCTCTGAGTTCAGAACTCTTTGCGTGTGTGTGGAACAGACACTCAGAATCTCTGAAACAAGCCCACAGGCCTTGCTTTTGAGGCTGTCTACTGCTGGAATTATGGGGAAATTGAGTTAAACTGTTTCCCTTCCTTCCTGTTTCGCTGTTGACTTTTTCTGTCATTTGTTAACTTAGCTATTCATGTATTTACATGTAGAATTCCTATAACATAGTACATAGATGCTTTGTATCCCAGGGGAGGCCAAGGTGCTGGGTAAGATTGTGTAGAAAATCAACCAATGATTCTGATGGAGGTCTCATCCCAACAACAGCCAGCAGAGGAGGGAGGGTCGTGGATGGGGTCACGTGAACCCAGTTGGAGGACATTGTAGAGGAAACTGGCACTGGGAGATTGAGGAGAAAGGTGAGAAGGATGTGGATAGGGTGGCTTTTCTGGGAAAACTGCCTGGGCTTTGCAATTGCAGTTTTCTGCATCACATCCTGGAAATCATTGTGTTTCAGAGGCTCCCAAAGGAAGGAAAAGAAAACCCAGAACAAGACAACCAAAAAAACCAGCGGAACCCAAGAAAACTGCCAAGGCCAAAAAGCCTGCCGAGGCCAAGAAAGCCACTGAGGCCAAGAAAGCCGCCGAGGCCAAGAAACCTGCTGAGGCCAAGAAGTCTGCCAAGTCTGCAAAATCAAAAGAAAAGCAAGAAAAAATTACAGACACGTTTAAAGTGAAGAGAAAAGTTGACCGTTTTAATGGTGTTTCAGAAGCCGAACTTTTAACCAAGACGCTCCCGGACATTTTGACCTTCAATCTGGACATTGTGATTGTAAGGATTCCTGTCATTTGGTTTTATAAATAGCACTAGAGGCCCAGCGCGCGAAATTGCACAAGACTCAGACCCACTGTGCTGCGGGACCCATCAGCGCACCTCCTGGTGACCAGTCGTTTGGTCGTTACAGTGTTACGGTCACTGGCCTTTTATAATATAGAAGATTGGTGGATTAACTTAACCTTTATCCTTGCAAATAATTTTGCTGAAAAGAACCGTTTCTGAGAATCCTTTTGCTAGTACATAATGTCACCTTCATGAGGTCCTATTACTGGGGAGTGTTTGAGAGGGTGGGCTCCAGAGTAGAGTTATCCAGTGTCCAATCCTGCCACATGGGTATGACCCTAGGCAAGCCTTAACTTTCCTGAACCCCAGTTTTCTCCTTGGTGAAACAGTTGATAAGAGTGCCTCTCTCATAGGGTTTCAGTTAAATTAAATAGTCCATGTAACTCAGACTGCATGACATCTGTGAGTTCCCCACGAATGGTAACACTGATTTTGAACTTTGATTTTTGTCTGTAACTGTAAGAAACAGCATGCAGACAGCTGTGCAGATGTTGTGAAGTCAGCTGCTTGCTGGGAGCTGAGAAGGAGACTTGTGGCTAAACCTGGGCTCAGACTCACCGATGGCTCCAGAGCAGGGATCTTCAAACTACAGCCCACGGGCCACATGCAAATACAAATATTGTATTTGTTCCCGTTTTGTTTTTTTACTTCAAAATAAGATATGTGCAGTGTACATAGGAATTTGTTCATAGTTTTTTTTTAAACTATAGTCCGGCCCTCCAATGGTCTGAGGGACAGTGAACTGGCCCCCTGTTTAAAAAGTTTGAGGACCCCTGCTCCAGAGCCTCTTTCTTTCCAGCCCAGTGGGTGGGGGTGGGGCTTGGGGATATGAGGGAATCAAACTGGTTTTTAAAAACAACAGCATAACTTTTAATATAAAGGAGAATTTTTTTCCTCAGACTGGAGTACTTTATTCAGATCAAGAGGAGGTAATTGATAAATGATACTGCGTATGATGGCAGATTACACTTTTAATAAAATTCAATTTTGTCCACCACTCTGTCGCCCTTAGACCCTACTAAAATGTATGAACGTTTTTTTAGATTGGTATAAACCCGGGACTGATGGCTGCTTACAAAGGGCATCATTACCCTGGACCTGGAAACCATTTTTGTAAGTGGTTGCTTTTTTATTATTATTACTGTAATTTTAAACTCGATACCTGTGTTAATAGTTTGGGTGGTTGTTTTTTTAAACCAAATTGTGTTTTTAATAAGAGAGATTGTATATATGTGTCAATGTACATCCATGATTTCTGTGTGTGTATACACAAAGAAGGTTTGGAATGACATGTCACTTGGTTTCCAAGAGTACAGGGGCATGAAAAGGAGTACTTCCTCCTTTGTTTGGATTGTTTCAAGTGAGTGTTACTACTTTTTTAAAGGATTTTTTTAGTTGTCACCTATTGATGTAGCAGCAATAGTGCATCGCTGAGCCAGTGCAGACAGAACACTGATTTGCAGATTTCTGCTGATGGCCATCGCATTTCTAGGAGAGATGAAATACTTGCTCATTGGCAGTCAAGTTGAGAAGTGCTGTGATTGGAGACATTCTGTACAGAAACTCCATATCTAGCAGAAAATAGTATTAAAGACCTTCATTCTTGTCGAGTGAGCTTTAAAACCTTGTATAACTATTGGATTATCCTGTATCCGAGTCGTCTTGTCAGCATGCCTAATGGAACAAGGCATGCTGTAGGCCCTCGGGAACTAGCAGCTAGTGGATGATCTAAGAGTAACATAAAAAATATTTAGGGCAGCCCTGACCGGTGTGGCTCAGTGGATAGAGCGTCAGCCTGCGGACTGAAGGGTCCCAGGTTCGATTCCAGTCAAGGGCATGTACCTTGGTTGCAGGCACATTCCCAGTAGGAGGCGTGCAGGAGGTAGCTGATCAATGTTTCTCTCTCATTGATGTTTCTAACTCTCCCTCTCCCTCTCCATAAAAAATAATAATAATAATTAAAAATTTAAAAAAATATTTAAGGCAAATGATAGTAGTGTGTTTTTGGAATGAATACCATATTGTCTCCATTATTTAAAAAGTTTTTTTCTGCTAAAAATATCCAGAACAACATAGAAAGAAGGAGAAGAAAGTGGAATAAATGGATTGCCTTATGTCTTTCTGATCTTTAAAAAAAATAAAAACAAAAAAAATAAAAAGTTTTTTCCTAGGGAATTTTGTTTTTTTTGTTTTTTTTGTTTTTAAAGTTATGTAGTTTTTATTTTTTTTTATTTTTTGGCACATAGCAAGTACTTTATTTTTTTTTTAATTTTTTATTACAAAGGGTATTACATATGTGTCCATTCCTAGGGAATTTTGAACTTTTCATTTTCTCCACTGTCAAGCCCATCAGTGTATGTTTACCTGTTTGAGGTATTCCCGGGCAGGTGGTGATATCACCAATGATTAGAAAGGAGAGCTGTTTCAAAGTTTCCTATACTGACTAGATGTGTATTCTTGACAGGCCTTTATCTTAACTCCCCTATGAAAAGGGAATGATAATAGTAATATCTCATAAATATGATGATTAAATAGGATAATACAGGCAAAGGGCTTAGCATAATACCTAGCACACAGTAATTGCTTGGTACAGTTTTTGATCTATGTTATAATATAAATTTTTTTTAATTTCAAGAATAGGATATAAACTAATGGACAGATCTCAGAGGGGAGGAAGGTGGAAGGGGACTGGAAGGGATTAATCAAAGAATATATATGTATATATGCATAGCCCATGGAGACAAACAGTAATGTGGTAACGGCCTGGGGTGGGGTGGGGAGTGGGTGGAGGGGGACAAGTGAGGGACATCTATAATACTGTCAACTATAAAAATATAAAAGAGCATGCCCTAACCGGTTTGGCTCAGTGGATAGAGCGTTGGCCTGCGGACTAAAGGGTCCCAGGTTTGATTCCGGTCAAGGGCATGTACCTTGGTTGCAGGCACATCCCTGGTAGGGGGTGTGCAGGAGGCACCTGATCGATGTTTCTAACTCTCTATCCCTCTCCCTTCCTCTCTGTAAAAAATCAATAAAATATATTTTTTAAAATAAAGCAGAACAATTTTTTAAAAATAGACTACTACATCAACCCATAGGGCAGAAACCTTTGACCTTCTATGGGAATAAATGAACTCTCTTTCTCACAGGGAAGTGTCTGTTTATGTCAGGACTGAGTGAGGTCCAACTGAACCATATGGATGATCACACTTTACCAGGAAAATACGGTATTGGATTTACCAATATGGTGGAAAGGACAACCCCAGGCAGCAAGGACCTCTCCAGGTAATTACATAGCATTTCTGTTTATAGGCCGAACCTTGGCCGTGCTGGTGCCTCACGCACTCTAGGAATACCATATGTGTCTAGTTCAAGCTGAGCTTGACAAACACTATGTGACTTGATCTTTCTTGGAAAGCTATCTGAATTTAGTATACTATAAATATTGCCATACTTATATTATGATGACTTTTTAATTTAATTTTAGTAAAGAATTTCGTGAAGGAGGACGTATTCTAGTCCAGAAATTACAGAAATATCAGCCACGAATAGCAGTGTTTAATGGAAAATGTAAGGTTTGCTTTTAAATTTCATCTTTTTTTCTTTGCTAACATTATGGACAATGTAAATATGGTTGCATTTCATTTTAGGTATTTATGAAATTTTTAGTAAAGAAGTTTTTGGAGTAAAGGTTAAGAACTTAGAATTTGGACTTCAACCTCACAAGATCCCAGACACAGAAACTGTAAGTCCTTAAAATTATATTTGCAGATCAGCCCAATGTGGATTTTTTTTCTAGCCAGTTGACCTTTTTTATTTGTCCTACCCATTGTAATTTATACTAAGAAAAGAAAAACTCAACCACTTTTATTAATTTTGCATAAACTGCTAAAGTAATAAGTATCAAGTCATGAACTCAAAGAAAGACACATTTTCTATCTCCATAGCAGTGGGTTGAACAGGTTTCTATAACTGTCCAATTTTATGATTCTAGCTCTGCTACGTGATGCCATCATCCAGTGCAAGATGTGCTCAGTTTCCCCGAGCCCAGGACAAAGTTCATTACTACATTAAGTTGAAAGACTTAAGAGATCAATTGAAAGGCATTGAACGAAACACAGACGTTCAGGAAGTTCAGTATACATTTGACCTGCAGCTTGCCCAAGGTGTGTCCCCATTATTGCTCCTTGTTTTCATTTCATGTCTGTATACACTCTAGAAAGTATGTTGTGGATTTAAAAGCAGGAGAGGAGAAAGCAGTTATATTTGCAGCCAGAGTGCTCTGATAATGGCTGTGAGTCACTGTTAGAATCTCCTTTTACTAAGGTCTTCCCGGTGCTCTTACAGATGTTGAGGATATAAGAAACATTGTAACCCACCCAAAATTAAATCTTATAGGCTGTGAGAGTTCTTATGAGTTAATATAGTATATGTTACGAAGAGTGCAAAAGGTCATACATAGCAAAAGATGTATCTCGGTGTACATGAATATTTAAGAAAAAGATTTCTTCCTCATGATTTCTGAATAAAGCTATCTCTTAAACGTGTTGTACAAAATTAGCTTTAAATCTCTTTCACCCTCCCCACAGAGGATGCAAAGAAGATGGCTGTTAAGGAAGAAAAATATGATCCGGGTTATGAAGCAGCATATGGCGGTGCTTACGGTGCAAATCCATGCAACGGTGAACCTTGCAGCTTCTCTTCAAATGGGCTAAGTATGTCCCCTCCCTATGTTTGTTCTCTCAAAGACTTGCTTTTGTCAGGATGGAGGGGTAGGGGAAGTTCTTTTAAAAAGAGTAAATTATTGAAGAATGGGAATTAGTATATAAAAATCTGTTTTAAGTCACTAACTACAGTAAGTCATCTTAGTTGCATTTTCCTCCTTGGATAACAAATGAGGACTTACTAGTCCGGTATCTGAAAATAGAACAGAAATATACTGTATTCAAGAAGCTTCTTGCCCTCGCTGGTTTGACTCAGTGGATAGAGTGTCGGCCTGTGGACTGAAGGGTCCCGGGTTCCATTCCGGTTAAGGGCACATGCCTGGGTTGTGGGCTCAGTCCCCAGTAGGGGACATGCAGGAGGCAGCCAATCAATGATTCTCTCTCATCACTGATGTTTCTATTTATCCCTCTCCCTTCCTCTCTGAATCAATTATATATATTTAAAAAGAAGAAGAAGCGTACTTAACTATTTTAATAACAGTTGTCATTCACTGGACAGTTAAAATCCCCTAATTTGATCATTTAAAGCAGCGGTTCTCAACCTGTGGGTCGCGACCCCTTTGGGGGTCGAACGAGCCTTTCACAGGGGTCGCCTAAGACCATCGGAAAACACATATATAATTACATATTGTTTTTGTGATTAATCACTATGCTTTAATTATGTTCAATTTGTAACAATGAAATTGGGGGTCACCACAACATGAGGAACTGTATTAAAGGGTCGCAGCATTAGGAAGGTTGAGAACCACTGATTTAAAGCTTTTAAATGTAAGAAACTAACACTCTCCCTCTCCCTTTCCTCCCCACCAGCAGCTGACTGTGGAGAATCGACTTTCAGTGATGTTCCCAACGGGCAGTGGATGAGCCATTCGTTTACGGACCAGATTCCTTCCTTCAACAATCATTGTGGGATGCAAGAACAGGAGGAAGGAAACCTTGCTTAGGCACGGTGCTTCTCAGCCCTGCTCCAATGCTGCAGTTTTATTGCAGTTGTCAGGGAGTGGCCCTCAGTTTGCTAACTGAAGTATTTTATTAGTGTTTTCCTCCGGTGATGTATCCATAGTACAGTTGTATGGTAGAATCAACTGTATGAACCTAGGTAGTTTGGAAGGAACATTTAGGATTTTTTTGTATATGAGTTTTTGTATTTGAATGAACCATCATTCCAGCATTTTATAAAGGCTTTTTCATTTTAGAAGAAAGTGATTTTGTGGGGGAGTCACTTTTAAACAGTAATTTAAGAAATGCAACAGTCTGAATATTTATATTTGATTATTCACTGTGCGTAAACCTAGAAACACCATTACCCCTCTTATGCCTAAGAAGGGCATGCTGTTAATAAGAGTTGCCACTGGTAAAGAGGCAGATGTGTGGATGTTCATGTGAAGTTAAGCCTCTGGAGTCATGTTCACACTCAGACCTCTTTACCAATGGTAATTGTTTGTGAGAGTTGCTTTCTAGTAGAGTGTGGCCTTGCAGCAGCAAGACCAACCTGGCCTTACGTGACAGGGCATTCAACCCTGGCTTTGGCCTCCTCACCCTGTGTGTTAGTTCTCTAATAGGCAGAACCTATTCTGCTGGGATGGTGGGCTCCAGGGAATGCAGTAGACCTTTTAAATGTTGTTACTTCATCTGTGTTTTACTTGAGAGACATACACTCGATAGGGAAGGAACTGAATTTCTCTTTCAGTACCTGTCACCGTTCGAATTTTATCTTCCTCGGCTTTAGGGGTGTAACATGGCAAGTGATGAGAAATGAATTTTCAGGCTGAGCGGCAATATGCCGGAGGTGTTCGATAATCTTTTTTAAACTGGTGCTTTATGTACATGAGATGTGCTACTATAATTAAGACAGAAATGTTCTTGCTGGTTAAATCTCATAAGCCAGTAATTTACAAACTTCTGTCTCTGCATCATTGTTCTTTGTTACTGTGGACTACGTTAACCTTATGCAAGGTTAGTTTTTAAGTAATGTACCTTTGTGATTTTTAATGCATTTTCCAAGGTGCTACAGATAGTCCAGATTTCTACGCCTGGCAGGTATAAACCTGGGTGTTTGGAAATGCTATTTGCATCTCCCCTTGATCACTTATACCCACAGAGCATGCTTTTCAATATGGAAATATTTATCAAAAGGTGTTTTTCTAAAAGGTTATATGCCCTGTTCTTTTTTTATAATAAGAGAAACAAATCCTTGTTGTGAATCTTAACATGCTGTTTAGCTGCTGGCTGTGATGAATTTTATTTTTCCTTTAGCCTGGATCAAGCTGTGTAGGAGTCATTCATGTTATTTAAATCATGTACTGTACTGCTGTTTACATGGATGTTTTGTGCAGGTGCTTTGAAGCGCTTTGCATCAGGGACTAGGAACAACTGAATTATTTTTTCATGGGACTGTGTAAAGCATGTAACTAGGTATTGCTTTGGTACATAATGATTTGTAGCCTTACAATGGATTTTTTTTATTTAAGTGGAGAAAATACCCTTTAAATTATGGACACTTACTAGAGAATGGGTTTAAGGATTTTCCAAGCGTACAGCAATGGTGTGTTTCATTAAATGACAGGTAGTAAATGTTGATATATTCTATACATGACAGTATGAGACTTTTTCATTAAAAAATATTGAAAAAGTTTTTAAATTCATTTGAAAGTCTGATGATTTTTACAATAAAAAATATAAGAATGATTATCCTTAAGTTGCAGGCTTTTCTGTAGCGAGACTTACTGGTATGCTTTCATCCTTTAAACCTGAGATCAGTTTGCCTTCTGTTATATTTAACATATAGAATACTATATACAATGAGAATCATTAAAAATCTATGACTATTTTATTTTTCAGGCATTCATGTTTTAAGAGTAATACAAAAACACAAGACTGGCACCCTGTTAAAAAAAATACCTACATGTGAAAAATACATGTAGAAATTTTGAAAAGTTTTACATATAATTGTCACTGAGTTAAGCAAATTGGTTGCTGGAACCTACATGGGCTTATTTCTTTCCAACAATATATTTCACTCACACAATCTTGATTTCCACACTCAGCGCTTGTACTTAAGGAAGTAATCAATACCTATGTGATCCAAGGTATTACTTGCACACAGTAGTCTCTGTTTTTCATATTGTGGATCATACGTATCGAAGGTACTGTTCATAAAGAATGATGTTATAGTAGGTTGCAAATGGACAATCCCACGTTTTTATACAGAAAATATTTGAAGTGTCATCTGTTTTGGTGACTGAGTTTAAATATCCCTGCAGGGTCGGGAACAAACCAGCTTTCCCATAAGTCATTGTGAACGCCGGGGAAGTCCCAAGGTTTATGTCTTCCGTTCCAGTGGAGTAATTTTGCTTCTTGCAGAAAATGCTCTGAATATCTGGTATCTGGACTCCAGCCTTTATTGTGTTTAGAGAAAAAGAATAGGCTTGTTAGAAAATAAAATTTTATATATTAAAAGTTGAATATAGGTTCATTATAAAAAAATTAAAAGTAAGCAAATTAAAGGGTGTACAATGAAGAGTTTACCACCCACCCTGTATCTCTAAAATGACCATGGTTTGCCTGGCTGATGTGCCTCTATGGTTGAACGTCGACCTGTAAACCAGGAGGTTCCCATCAGGGCACATGCCTGGGTTGCTGGCTCGATCCCCAATAGGGGGCGTGCAGGAGGCAGCCAATCAGTGATTCTCTCTCATCATTGATGTTTCTCTCTTTCTTCCTCTCCCTTCCTCTCTGAAATCAATAAAAATATATTTAAAATATAATAATAAAGTGACCATGGTTTGAGGTTCTCATGAAAAACTATTCTACCTGTACACCAGTATGTGTGTAAGTGTATATAGTATGTATTTGCGTATATACATACCCATGCATGTTATATATGCGTTTTAAAAAATTTGTAATTTGCCTTTTAAAATTACTCTTAGGAAACTTTCCATAGTTGCACATTGATTTACTGAATTTTTTTATTTTTTATTTTTTTAATGTTTTTATTGCTTTCAGAAAGGAAGGGAGAGGGAGAGAGAGATAGAAACATAAATGATGAGAGCAAACCATTGATTAGCCGCCTCCTGCACATCCCCCAATGGGGATCAAGCCCGCAACCCAGGCATGTGCCTTTGATCGGAATTGAACCTGAGACCCTTCAAGACACAGGCTGACGCTCTATCCACTGAGCCAAACCAGCCAGGGCTGAATTATTTTTAATGACTACATAGAATGCATCTATGATTACTTATTTACTGAGTTTCTTATTAGGGACATTTTGGCTGTTTCTGTCCCTTCACTAGAATCAACAATACTACAGGAAACAGTCTTCTGTGCATGTCTTATGCATGTATACAAATGGTATATCTGTAGAATAAGAATCTTGTAGGTGGAATTGTGATATTGAAGGGTGTGTGCCTTTTAATTTTTGGTAAGAGATTGCCAATTGTCCCCAGAAGAACTTGTAGCGGTTTGCCTCCCATCCAGAATTTAGTTCTTATCTTTCTACATTACCCAACAATATGGCAAGATTTTCTTTTTAAACAGTCTTATTTTGACTATATGAAAAGTGACCAAGAATAAGATCCACTTGTTAACAAAGAGCTATCTCCATGTGAATATTATTTCCCTCATAAGATTCACTTAGAGACTATATATGCATTTACCTTAATATTGCTGTTGCTCAAATATTTTTAGAATACTTCTTCCAAAAGTACATTAAGATCTTGAGAATGTAAGTTTTTTTAAAAAAATATCCTCTACAGTGGGTTTTTTTTTCTAAGAAAGAGAATTTGATATTTTTGAAAAAACAACAGTCTATTGAGTAAAGAGGGTGAATAGCTAGTTTATCATATGATGTGAGACAACCAAAAACCTGTCTTCTGTTATTCATAAACACAGCTGCGAAGGTGGGTAGGAGAGGAGCTCAGCGTTTCGGAGTCTATACAGAGGAAACAAAATGCTCATTTGGGAAGAGGGACCTTCCTGCCAGAAGCCTCACTAAGTAGAACCTCATCTCTCAGCTCTTTGACGGAAGGACCAGAGGGCCTTGCAGTTTTGCTTTTAGCCAAATACGTTTCATCAATTTTTAATATTTTAAGCCTCCCTGTTTAGACCCGAACTTAACACTTAGCATTACATTGCTGTGCTTACAGAACACTCTCAAATCGAGGTATTTCTCAAATGATCACTGTGTAGATTCACTTGGCAGACCACCCCTGATTCCTAAACCCTCAGCACGGACGACATTCACTCTACAAAGAAAAATGACTTCTTTCCCTTGGGAAGATTCCGCCACTTTCTACTTGTCAGTAAGTTAGATATTTCATAAAATGTAATTCTGAGTCTCTGTTCCAAGCTCATAAATGCTCCAACCTTATCGATCCAAGCTCCGCATAGCTGTACCTACACAACATTTTTCACAGACATTCTACTTTAATGGGATTTTCTGCACATTCATTGCATTGAAATGTTGATATTTGACCTAACAGTGAACTCAGCATCAATATAAATCAAATCAGATGGAACAATAGTGTCCTTAGCTTCCCTGTGTCGCTTTTATGTGCTTGCAGAGGCTCAGGAAAGTCAGGGAAGAGTCAGGGAATGAGGCAGAAGCCGTCCAGATGGAATCGCTAAGAGGAGACAGGAACCCAGCTTCCACAGTTTGTCTGTCTGCCCTTGTAAAAGGCAGAGTAAGGGAAGTACCATCTTAGAGGATTGTTCATCTTTATCGTCGGGACTGGGCCCAGCACTTGGAAAAGCAATGGGCACTTGGCAAATAGAAGTCCATAATCCATTGTCTCCAAGTCTGTAATCATCCCCCAATGTCTGAAAACAAAAGGATTTCTAATAACTTCTGTGGCAGCAAAACCTAGATCCCACTCAGGGAATCGCAGAACATAAGTATATGCTCCACTTTACCTTTCTAGGGTTCAGAAATCCTCAATTTCTAAATAGGTCCGGCTCAGTGGTTTTAGCTAAAGGGTTGTGGCCATGTGTTTGAGTGAATGTGAATGTCTCTGTTCTAAGCAATTTATACCCTAATTGGCCAGATTATTATGACCGGCCAGATTATTATGACCATCCCATCAGTATTTCATTGATACTTCCAAAAATACTGAATATTGAAAACTTCCTAAGCAAATACTCTCAAGGTTTTATTATTATTATTATTTGCATAACTATTCACTTCATTGTACTGATGGGGTGGACAGAATAATCTGGCCGCTCAGTGTGTATGTTAGGTCATTTATTCCCTTACAAACACTAAGGTTCTATTAGCTTTGATTTACAAATGAAGAAGGTAAGGCACAGAGAAGTTGAGAACTTGCCCAGGACCAGAGGTAATAGCAGAGTTGGGACCCCAACCCATACCCTAGAGCAGTGATGGCAAACCTTTTGAGCTCGGCGTGTCAGCGTTTTGAAAAACCCTAACTTAACTCTGGTGCCGTGTCACATAGAGAAATTTTTTGATATTTGCAACCATAGTAAAACAAAGACTTATATTTTTGATATTTATTTTATATATATAAATGCCATTTAACAAAGAAAAAATGAACCAAAAAAATGAGTTTGCGTGTCACCTCTGACACGCGTGTCATAGGTTCGCCATCACTGCCCTAGAGCCTGCACTGCTGTAGTGAAGAGTGAATACACATAGGACACAACCAGTAAACAACTTCTCTTTGAAAGATACATTGCCAGCCCTGGCCGGTGTGGCTCAGTTGGAGCATTGTCCTATACACCAAAAGGTGGCGGGTTCGATTCTCGGTCAGGGCACACACCTGGGTTGTGTGTTCAATTCCCAGTTAAGCAGTGTATGGGAGGCAGCCAATCGATGTCTCTCTCTCTCTCCCTCTCTCTCTCTCTCTCTCTCCCTTTGTCTCTCTCCTTCCCTTTCTCTAAAGTCAATAAAAAGCATATCCTCTGGTGAGGAAAAAAGAAGATACCCTGCTAGCTAGATAAATGCATCATAAACCATTATGCTAATTCATTTGGTTTTGTCCACTGTAGGTCACTTCAAAGAGTTCAATAAAGTTATGAAAAAGTTTTCACAGTGAAATTTCTAACAATAGTTAATGTTTATCTGGCACGTACTCTGTGTATGCTAAGCATGAGTCTAATTGCTTTTCATGAATTCCTCTCAGGAATAGAAACACACCTCTCAGGCAGGCCATCTTTATCAGCTGCATTTGCAAATCTGAGCAATGACGGTTAAATAAGGAGTCCAAGGTAATCTCCAAGGTCACATGGAGGATGTGACTGAGGAAGCTGGTGCTCCAGCACACTTTCCCCAACCTCACGCTCAAGCGATCTATAAAATGCACGTTTGCATGGTTTTTCCACAGTGCTTACCCAGGTGCCTTATGTGCCACAGGGGGTTGATGGTGGAGTATTTCCCATGAAACACAATCAGCATTGGAGAGGTGGCCACCTCTCCCCCCAGGGAACTGCTGTAGAGATTCTCCCTAAGAAAATGAATAGAAAAGAAATATTTTAAGCCTGGAGCCCCACAGACTCACATAAAGAAGAATCTAATCCTTTTAAAAGATGCAGGACAGTCTCTCACTATATAATAACACTATAATCTTGCACTTTCCTCCAATCTTGTATTTTGAAAATTGTTTAACCTACACAAAATTATAAGCAGAAAACC